TCTCTCTCTCTCTCTCTCTCTCTCTCTCTCTCTCTCTCTCTCTCTCTCTCTCTCTCTCTCTCTCTCTCGGCGATACCTCCTGCGTCATCGCAAGCTAGGTCGGCATACCTCTTCACAGCGGTAGATGATGGCAAACCTCACCAGTACGCTCTACATACGTTATTGGTTTCTCGCAACCTCTCCGGGAGAACATGCAAAAAGGCTAGTTGCAGTGAAAAACGCGCTGTCATTGGTACACACTTGGCGCAGAGCGAAGGGAATTATTGCTGAAGCCCTTTTCTCCTCGTGCAGTGAAGTAGCAACAAGCACGACGGTAGGTACGACGGATTAGATGCCTTCAGTGAAACCCTGGCTGCCGCGTGAACAATGCGCCGATGGGTGAAGACTGGCGCCGCAAGAATATTATGCACGGGATAGACGAGGAAAAAGCAAAGGTTGGCGTCCATTGGACGATGCATTTTTTTGGGGGGGGGGGTTGCAGAGATTGTTTTGATTACGATTATCTGGTTGCACTGACGCCTTTGCCTTCAGTGCGCGACTGTACCTTCATTCGAAGTCACTGCTCTCCGACTTTTTTGCGAGTGGGGGACCACTTGATGATGGTGCACTTCGGTGCTCGTTGCTGCCACTGCTCACTCTCGATGCCTCGCTTTGCAAGACTGATGAAAATGCTCCCAAAGCTGCGGACACCGCTGCTGCAGCCACAGCAGCAGCAGCAGCAGCAGCAGCAGCAGGGATAATGTCTTGAACTCACCGCTGTAGCTGCTGGTGTTGCTGGTGTTGCTGGCTGCTTGGGTCGGTCCATGTCTCCGTTCTGCATGCAGGTACACCTACCCTCCGGAGCCGGCAGCCCCCGCAAGGTGGAGTGCGGTACTAACCACTGCCTCGTCATCACGGACAAGCACGAGCTGTACACGTGAGTAGGAGTAGCAGCCGCTTTTGGAGGGGGGCGGTTAAATTGGTGTCGCGCCATATTTTTCAGTTCTTAGTCCTGATGGTAGCAGTCTTTAGACTGATGTGTTCATCACGCCGACAGTTGTTGTCCTCGACAATGGCGGGAGCGCGCACAACGATTTTGCTTTTGCTGCGACGTTTCTTTTGGCTCTACTGTGCTCACTGAGCATTACCAGCAGCGGCAGCGGTTGCATTGCGGTGTGCCGCGAGAGCCTGATGCCATCCAGGTCGCAGTCGTGTCTCTCTCTCTTGCTCTCGCTTTTTTCTTTTTCCGTGGACCGCTGCCTCGTCAAGACAGAAAGATGCCCCGTTGTGCCACGGTGTGGATAGTGGGAAGGCCGTCGCCTGCTGCATACACAGGTGTTCAGTGTGCCCCCGGCCCGTTCATGTGTGAATCCCGTCCCCTTGAACGTTTGATCCGAAGTCCTCTTTTCTATTGCCGTTTCACTCTGGTCTGACGTCATCATTGGTGTTTGTTTGTTTTTTCCTTTGGTGGTGCGCATACAGGTGGGGATACGGCGAAATGGGCGCCTTGGGTCACGGCAAGGACGTTGACTGCAACTTGCCCAAAAAGGTCGACACGGCAAAACTCGGCATCACCAAGGTCCGTTGGTGCATGTCTTGTTCGCCGTGATATTATGGTGTAGTTGTGGACATGAAGAGATGAGTTTTTTATCGTAATATGTTGTTCAGTGTTCGGGGCCGTTGATGCTGGTTTTGGGTGTCCGTGGTGTCGTTGCTGATTTGAAGGGATGTGAGACGTGGTTTGGCCACAGGGCTTGTGCGCAGGCACCCTGCCAAGGATCATGATGGTGTCTCCCGCATACGACCCCGCTCTTGGGATTTGATGGGCTACAGTGGGGGTCGCCGAGTAATCCAATTGCCCTATCTTTAGGCCGGCGGAATTAGGTGGCAGTAAGGGAGCAATCAAGTTGTGCTACACATTGAGTAAGGCGGCTGTGCCCCTGGAGGTGGCAATTTTGTAATTTTTATGTGGTTAGCTGCCCCACCACCGCCTTATTCGGGGACACCCACTGTACGGTAGTGGGCTGCTTCTCGTACGAATTCTCGGACGCAGCCCACATCGATTCGCGAGGAGAAAGTTCAGGCATTCGTGCGAAAACTGCTACATGCCCCCTCTTCAATATGCGCATCCCCTCAACCCGACGCCTTCCTCTGCTCCGTGTCCGCGTCGAACGTGTTTTTTTTTTTATGAATTATGGTGTCAGGTTTTGGACGCAGACGGAGGCGGACAGCATAGCGCCATCCTGGGAGAAACGGCTGAGAGCTAATTGTTGAACAATGCCGATTCAAGTGGTCTGAAAGAGCGTACACCCGTGCAGTGGATGAATCCATGTTGGGCGGAGGAATCCGGGGAGGAGGGGGGATGGCTTGCTTTTCCCTGTAAAGCTTGACCAAATATTCATACGCGCGTTTCTGTCGGGCCCGATGATCGTGCGAAGGAGTAGGATTTAATATTCGTAGAACGGCCAGGACATATTCCCACTTTTTGCCGAAGAGTGCGAAATAAGTCGTTGGATGGAGCGAGCCAGTCTGGGTAATGGGCTCCTGAGGGTTTTGTGGATAAAGATGCTACGTAGTCGGTAGGTTGACCCCTTTGGGTCTAGCAAGGTCTAGCCTCTTCATTTTTCGGCAAAAAAAAATAAGAACGGGGAGAGATTGCGGGAGAGAGAGACAAAAGTGCAGCAAAAAGGGACAAATGTACATCAGTAGACGCAACAGCTATCTCCACCCATAGGCCATGAGGGCACAGAGTGGTGGGCACAATCAGGGTCATAGAAGGGTTGATGCGTGGTCGCGGTGCGGCCGGTAGGGCAGGTTAGGCTTGAACACGTCGAAAATATCAGTCGTCAAGCTGCCTATTCTATTCTATTTTCAGGATGTCCAAATGATCAGTGAAAATGGTCAACAAGAGGGCTTGTAGACCCATAGCTGGTTCTTGTACTTCTGTACTTTTTGTGTCCCCTCCCCAATGTGAGCCCTGCCAGCTCACTACAGCTCCTTTGATTTTCCCACAATTTCCGCAAGCACGAAAGCACACCAACACACACCTACCTTTGCATCAGTGTGGCTCTCTAGAGTTCGGGCGAGGGTATGTGTGGGGCCATGATAGCAGTGTATGTTGGACTCTTCTATGCTGAAGCTGCTGTGTAATGTAGGATGGCTGCAGTCACGATGACTGCTGGATCTTGGGAGTGTACGATTTTCAAATTTGGAGAACATGCAGCAAACACCACGATATCCTTCGTTGGTCTTGAAATGCCCCTTTTTCCTGCCTCCGCTCTTGTCTTCAGTGGCTTCCTAGATTCAGGCGAGATCATGTTTGTGGTGCTGTTGGTGTGTCGCTGAAAGGATTTGAGGAGAGATTTCTTGTGGCATTCGCATTTCGCGCATTGTGCAGTTCTCGAATTTTGGTACCGTTCCAGGGACGGACCTTGATTTTTCCCGCTGGCACTACTGTCGTTTCACTGGTCACCAGTCACCGCGGTCGTGCAAAAAATGAAGACATACCTACCTATGGACTCGCCAACGCCTGGCGTGGAGCGATACAGGGCGGTAACTCCATGGCATGCCACCACGCCAGCAATTGCAATTGATCAATAAAATGATCTGTAAGGGCGCCTGTAGACCCTAAAGGTTTAATTGGGGAGCACGTTATCGTCTTCCGGTAAATATGAAATAGTGCAGTTTTGAAGAAGCAAGCGCGCTGTAACGGGTGAAAACATCATTCCGACCTCGGGACAAACAGGGTGGGCGTGTGTTGGCGGTGGTATAGTTGCGATGTGAGCAACTCCGGGAATGAATGAGACGGTCGTTAGCTGCCCATGCGGAAAGATGAAGCGTCCTATGCATAGGTGGCAAAAGTGCGAATCATTTCACTCCACGACAGGAGCCCTTTGACCGTAAGTTGTATTCACTCATTGTAACGGCAGGAGCCATTTTTCGATGTTTGTACCATGGATCGAACATTATGTGGGCGACTGGCAGGCTACTATCGTTGTCGCAGAGATCCCAACCGATTGGCCCTGATGGAAGTTGGTCGATCAGTAGCCCATGACGTTCGAACACATTGCGAGTTCGCATCGACAGAAAACGAGCTAGCTCGAAGGTAAACCGTCTCCGAATCCTTTTAGTATGAAAAGCTTCAGGCGAACTAAGGCTCTTTCATCGTCAAAATTCCCCCGGCAAAAAGCTTCGTACGCCAAGTGACAGCTGCGTAGGACTTAGTGTATTTTCTGGTGCATTCACTTCCTGAGACAGTTATTGTAAGCACTGTGTAACTGCCTCGAGGGTGCTTGACCATTTTAACACAACGTGGTGCGACCATCCCCCTTGCGCGGAGTGAGGGTTCTCCACCCCGCACAACATGATCTACTCGACCACCATTATGGTTACCGCCAAGAAAAAAACAGAGGTATATATAGAAAAAGAGTAACCCTGGTTGCCGAGTTCACGAGGTGAATGGGCTTGTTTTACAACGTCGTTGCCAAGTGACGAAAACCCAATCCCGATGGGAAACACCGAGGGGGGGGGG